AGGAACTTTGCAAAAAACGCATCTTCGCACGGACAGCCCGTGCGTTGCAATTATTTGCATCTATGCAAAGCAAAAACGCATATTATCGAGGGGTTGTTTATGTACGCGTCTGTACCGAGTTTTCACCTCGAGATCTACAAAAGCTACAAAGCTGAAACTTTGGCAACTTCATCAATACATATGTACGGGTCTCTATCCTAAAAACGGATGCTCAAGCCCTCGTGGTCCTCACGTAGGAGCGCGTGAAAGTTTTTTGGTGAAGAGGCGATTTCGGAAAGGGCGCAAGCTAGAAGGCTGAAACTTCACAAAGATATTCTTTGTCCATGTCTAATGCAAATGCAAAAACTTCAAATTCAGTCTTCACGCGCCCTTAGGTCTTACGTACACAGACGTCAATGTTTAACCTGGCAACGTGCTTGCTCCCGATTTAAGTTGACCAAGAAGCTGTAGAGAGCTGTAATTTTGCAGCTTACTCGTCGCTCATTGATGCGCTTCTGAAAGTAAATTGAGCTTTCCAGCCCCTCTGCATCTTCCATACGGACACGTGAAAATTTCACGCAGGCAGTTTTGTTAATTCAAAATTGAAACAGCTACTGGTCCGGAACTTTCTGAGCATAACCAAAGGCGGATTTTGACCAGGTGGACGTAAAAACGACTTTTGCGTCCCTTTCATTTCTCACGTACATACACATAAAGTTTGATATAACTCCGCACCAGAGCAGCTGGTGTGCTAAAATTGTCTGAGCATAGGCCAGGAAAATGTTTGAGCGAGCGCACGCGGGAGCAGCAAGGGGAACCTTCACGTACGAACACGTAATTCCGCAACCAGAGCACCTAGAGCGTTGAATTTTTTGAGCAAGAATTGAGAATCACTGTAAAAATTTCTGACGTCCATGGTGGTCAGTCTCAATTCTTTTAGCTACGTACATTTGGCGAGAAAAACAGTCCGTTAGCAACATAAACCCGCGGGGGAACTGTGCAAAAAACGCATCTTCGTATCGGCAGTCAGTGCGCTGGCTAATAATTGTATTCATCAAAGATGCAAAACGCAAAAAAGTGTTTAGTTTGTCCGAAAAAATTGGCTATGGTGATTTTAGTAATCGTCAAGATCGACTCAGCTGTCTATACGAAGATGCATTTACACGGTGTCAAGGCCGTTTCCTATCTTAATCTGGTTAGTTGACAGTAAATATGCACATCACTTTTTCGATGGCTGTCCGAATAGCCTTCCTTCATGCGTTTTTGCGCATTTATGCAAACGTGGAAACGCGTATAACGTGTGAGTGTGCGTGCGCGCGTATATCTGGCCGCATGTCTATCAGGCTGTTTCATCCCGGCGACTAGGTAAGCTCTGATGCTGAGTTCCCTCGCCAAGTGTTGTCCTAGGAACGTGGTATTAAATTTCACGCACGTCTAAGTTTCACATAGGGACACGTAAAAGTCTGGCGGTAAAACTGCTAACTCATTAGCCAGAACAGCTGGAGAGCTAAAACTCTAAGCGGGTGTTTACGTCTGGTTCTCACGTTCGAATATGTAAAAGATTTGGCAGAAAGGCTGCTAACTCGGAACTAGGTGAGCTAGGAAGCGGAAATATTGGGATGATCTAAGTACACAGAGTTCTCACTACGTGGAAAAGTGAACGTTACGGCGGGAAAATCAATGACTTGAGAGCTGGAATAACTTGGTCATTTTTATGCGTTTTTGCCTATGCAAGTTGCAAAAACGCATATTGGGACGACCCTGTCTGTGTATGTATGTATGTATGTATGTATGTATGTATGTGTGTGTTCGTCTGTCCGGGTATTTCAACTCGGCAACCAAGCAAGTTTCAGCGCCGAGAT